TAAGTAAAGATAAAATGGCCCAGGCCCAAATTGTTTTACGAGGGAATCTTCCCAGACTTCAAAAACAGATAGGTTGCCCCTAATGCTACACATCTTGTTCCAAGCATGGAAACTGAAAAACTATTTCCAAACTCTTTTTAGCAAAACATGTAATATGAGTATCTAACTCAGATAAAAGAAAGAAAATTGCAAAACAATATTACCTGTGAATATCAGGTAAACATTTTAATGACATTTTAGCAAGCAGAATTCAGGATTACATTAAGAAAATTAGCAGGTAAGATTTATTTAAGGAATGCAATGTGGGTTAAATATTTAAAAACCATTGACATAACATATTAATGGATTTAAGAAACATGATTATTTTTATAGATTTTAAAAGCCTTTGACAAACCCATTTATTTAAAATCACTTAAAAATAAAAAACTGATGGATGTTTTTATTAAAATATATAATCTCTTTACCTTAATTCTTAGCCCAGCATGTAGTTAATGGACAATCAATCAAGACTTCCCATTAATATAAGGGAAAAGGAAAGCATGCACACATTTCCATTACCATTTATAATTCATCTGAAACTACCAGCAAATGCAAGCAGAAAAAAATCAACTACAATAATAAGAATTGGAAAATAGATACTGAACCTATTTCTCTTTGCCATAGAAATTATTATATACCTAGGAAACCTTGCAGAATCAATGAAAAAAACTTACCATTTTAAGTTCATAATAAAAAAATTTTGTCAGGTAGCAAAAGATAAAATTAACTTATAGACATCAGTAGCCTTCATAGGTTACACAAACAATAACTAGATACAGGATATCATGGTAGAGAAAACCCATTTGCAATAACAACACCTGTCAAATACTTAAAATTAAACTTAAAAATTGCAAAACCTATATCATGAAAACTGTAATGTACTCCTCTGAGTTACAAGCACATCTTGAGCACATTGAAAGCCATGCTCTGCTTCAGATAGGATACCTGGATATCAGAAAGATGACAAATGATCTTATGATTGTTTACAAAATTCCAATGAAAATACAGTATTTGAAACCTAATCAATTTGATTTTACATTTATATGAACAAGTAAGCATGCATAAATAGCTATGCAAATGCTGATAGAGAAAAGCTATAAGGGGAGAGTTGTCTTGCCCAACCAGATATTAAAACATTAGAACAACTCCAAAAATATTGAGTATTTCTAATCATATCAGCCATTTACATTTTCTCTTCCACATTCTTTAATTGGCTCATGAAAATTTTCTCTTATTAATATATGCAATCTTTACATATTACATTAACATTTTATGTGCCAATTTATTATGAATATTTTCCATTCTGTGGTTTGCAATTATGATGTCACTGACACTGTTAAATTGCCTTTACTTTCTCCCATTCTTTTATGTTTTGTTAAAAGGTTTTCTTTAATCAATACTAGATAATCACCTATATTTTTCTATCACATTTGGATATCATTATTTTAGCTTTAACTTCAATTCATCTAGAATTTATTTTTGACATATAATATGATGAACTGTTATCAAAATATATTTTCCAAGTAGCTAGTCAATTTTTCCAACTCAATGTATTAAATAATTTATCAATTCTTTATTGATTTTGTTTGCATTTTTCTTTAGTTGAAGAAATACAGTCATGAAAATCAAACAATAAAGAACTGTATAATGTAAAATGTAAAACTATCTGTCATGCTCTCAATTCCAATTCCAAGAGGTTTCCATTTTAAACATTTTAGTGAGTAGTCTCAATGATTCTTAACACATTTTTTACTATACATACATTTTTTTATTCTCATAAGTAGTCAGTTTCTGAACCACATTTTTTTTCATCTGACCTGGTGATCTGCAAAAGAGGTAAAAACATATCTTGGAATATGTGACAAAAACTTGAATCAGATTCATAGGATTTAGATATATGGATGGTTGTGTTAATTATAATGGTTGAGTCTGAACGCTAACATTTTTGGCTGAAGTCACTACAAAACTTCTTTTCTTTTAAATATATATAAATTTTAATTAATTTTTTAACAGCGAGGAAGGGAGAGGGATAGAGAGTTAGAAACATTGATGGGAGAGAAACATCGATCAGCTGCCTCCCGCACATCCCCCACTGGGGATGTGCCAGCAACTGAGGTACACGCCCTTGACCAGAATCGAATTCAGGACCCTTCAGTCCCCAGAAGTTCTGGCCCTAACCGGTTTGCCTCAGTGGATAGAGCGTCGGCCTGCAGACTCAATTCCGGCCAAGGGCATGTACCTTGGTTGCGGGCACATCCCCAGTAGGGGGTGTGCAGGAGGCAGCTGATGGATGTTTCTCTCTCATTCATGTTTCTAACTCTATCCTTCTCCCTTCCTCTCTGTAAAAAATCAATAAAATATATTTTTAAGAAAAAGAAAAAAGAAAGAAGTTCTGAGTGTAAAAATAGGTAATCTTCTAGAAATTTCTCAGGCCTAGCCACCCTGATAGCTCTGAGAGGGTCACAGCGTGAATAATAATCCACATTATACCACGTCTTCATCTATTAGTCCTACATGATTCCTGCTCTCCAACACCCCACCCCCCAAAAAAAGAAAAAAAACAACATATTGAAATCCCAGAGTTTACCTACACACACAAACATGGTTTCGCTAGTCAGCATTCCCTGAAAAATGCTCTACCTCTCTGCCAAGCATTCCAGTTTCTGCCGACACCTCACTGAGCCTTCTCACCTTTGGAAGAATTGTTCCTTCCTGGTCACATGAGCTCACCGTATAGCCTTACCATTTTCTGAGCTTTTCTGTGAGGGCTCCTGGAGAAATGATCATATAGAATATTGAGTAAAAGTGACAGGAAGGATGAACACTCCCTCCAGCTTTTCTTACTACACACTGACAAAGGGGACCACAGGGAGGCCTTGTTTGCTTAACAGATTGTGCCTGCTAAAAAACCCGGGCTAGGTTTCTGCTAAATTGACAGTGGATTAGATATCACTACCTCTTGAGGCCTTGTATGTAGTGAAGCAGAACAGTACCCTAATTTAAGAATAGTTACCACCCTGAAAGTGTGGCTCAGCTGGCTGGGCATCTACCTTTGCACCAAAAGGTTGCTGATTCAATTCCAGGTCAGGGAACATGCCTGGGTTGCAGGCCGGATCCCCAGTAGGGGGCATGCAAGAGGAAGCCTATCAATGTTTCTCTTCCCCCCAACCCCTTCTTCTCTTTCTAAAAAATATCTAAAAAAATGAATATTTACAGAACTTCTTTACATCCAAGAGTTTCCTGTCTGTATAAATATCAACTGTTTTGAATGAGGACCAAGACCTATAAAAAAGAACTTAGATCCAAGAACAGAGCTCAGAAATACATAGACCTGTCTGACAGTCACCAACAAAAGAAAAATATAATAATATCACAGTATTTAAACCAGTGATGGCGAACCTTTTGAGCTCGACATGTCAGCATTTTGAAAAACCCTAACTTAACTCTGGTGCCGTGTCACATATAGAAATTTTTTGATATTTGCAACCATAGTAAAACAAAGACTTATATTTTTGATATTTATTTTATATATTTAAATGCCATTTAACAAAGAAAAATAAACCAGTAAAATGAGTTTGCGTGTCACGTCTGACACGCATGTGATAGGTTCGCCATCACTGACTTAGACCATTGTCTGGCACAGAGCAGGTGCATGCTGAATGTGTGATAATCATGTATTAGCTAGTCTTTCCCCTGGGACTCCTCTGCACATGTCAGCACACATAAGTTCCTTAAAGTGAAGAGAGATATGTGCCACAAACATCATTATTAGGAATGTAAAGAACATTTTCCGAGGAGGTTCCAAGAAAATATATCAATAAACTTTTTCTGAATGAAAAGATACGTGCTCACAGCACCACGGTGTGGAAATGTCACATATTAGTACACACCAGTGGGCAGAGTATTGAATACGTAAGTGAGCTTAACGAAGCAGTTCTGCACTGTTTACTTATGGCCGTCTCTTTCCTTGGAACACACAGGGGTGCCCAGTGCTCTTTTCCAGACACCAAATTCAAACAGCTAGAGTCCTGTACTAAGATGGATTACTGTCCTCTATGGGCTCGATTTTCGATACTGGCTATAACTCATCATGTCCAGTTCTGTCTTCTCTCAAGATCACTTCCCTCCCAGAAAGCTGTTCTGTATCCTGAAAAGAAAATTATGTGGAATCATCCCACCATTTCATATACCCGAATGCAGCCCAGCAGAGATGCAGCTATGTTTAATTCCCAGACTTTCCCCCAACTTTATAAAAATGATATCTGTTGGATCTGGCTCAACCACCCTCCAAATAAAAAGCTGCAGTAGATGTCAGTAGGCTATAAATCAAGATGAAATCTCTGTTATGTCTAAGCCATATCAAATTTGCTATAAAATCGATTAATTAAACTGACAAAATAAAAAGCTCTAATTTTGAAGAAAATTGATGTAATATGTATTAAATGTCTTCTCTCTGATTTTATCACTAAAGACGATTATGATTATGAGAAAGAGACCTAAAGATAAATGACAATATGCCTTAATGTGCCCTGTATATTTCCTGGTTATATAGTACGTTCTAACCTAATTTGTTGGAGTACTCCATTTCACTCACAAGTCTCCAATGCTAGATCTTCCCAGATAAAGGATATGTGCGTTGATAATACTAGCAATGGTAGATGTTAAATACCAAAAAGAAAAAGAGGACCATCTGTTAAGGGAGGTCCTAAGGCACTTGTTCTCAACCTTCCTAATGCCGTGACATTTTAATACAGTTCCTCATGTTGTGGTGACCCCCAACCATAAAATTATTTTCGTTGCTACTTCATAACTGTAATTTTGCTACTGTTATGAATCGTAAATATCTGATATGCAGGATGTATTTTCATTGTTACAAATTGAACATAATTAAAGCATAGTGATTAATCACAAAAACAATATGTCCAATGTCAGTGCGAAGGTTGAGATTGCTTCTTTCTCACCAGATCAGAAATTCTCAGGGCAGTCTTTGCAAGAGCACAACGAAGATCATCTCCCACAACAAGTCTACTGCTGTATTTAGACTTGATAACCAACAAGCTGGGTGTATGTAATGGGGTTGGCGTGATGATGTCATTACGCCGGGTACTCGTATATGGGCGTATCTGCATGTGGGCGGACCCACTTTGAGACGGATAGAGGAGCGGTGTCTCTGTTCCTAAGACCATCGAAAATATGTGTTTTCCGATGGTCTTAGGCGACCCCTGTGAAAGGGTCGTTCGACCCCCAAACGGGTTGCGACTCACAGGTTGAGAACCGCTGATTTATGATATTTTCTTCTTTTAAAGGTTCAAAATATTCATCTCTAAGATGGGGTTGGCGCGATGATGTAATCACGCCGGGTACTCATATGTGGGCGTATCTGCATGTGGGCGGACCCGCTTGGAAACGGATAGAGGAGCGGTGTCTCAGTTCCTAAGACCATCGAAAATATGTGTTTTCCGATGGTCTTAGGCGACCCCTGTGAAAGGGTCGTTCAACTCCCAAAGGGGTCGCAACCCACAGGTTGAAAACCACTGTCCTAAGGGAAAGATACTTTTATGCTAACACCTTTTCACTGAAACTAAATGTTGAGAGGTAAAATGGGGTAAAAAGCATTGCAGGCAAAGTGGCTGGTAAGAACAAGCACTTGATTGGGAAAGAGAAAGGCAAGAAATATTTACTAATGGTCTGGAAAATGAGAGAAATCTTCCTACCCATCTGGTAGTTTTAATTTAAAAATAGATATTCACACACACACACACACACACCGAGGAATAAAAAACACTAGTCTCAACAATGAATGAGCAAAAGTCTGATTTTCTATAGAAAGAGAATATTAAATTGAAAAATGAACATAAAAACTAGTCTACGAGCATAAAGTCCCAAGATTTCAGAAAGAATAAACTCCAATTTCAACCTTCCAAACTTGGGGTGCAGGGTGGGCTGTGACAAATCTTTACTGAAAATGGCCTAATGATAAAGAAGTTACAAACTACATGAGAAGACAAAGGAAAATGAAAGAGAGAATGGGTTGATGTGACAAATAGAAGATGGTATCCAAAGTATTTCAAATAATAAAAATATTTTTAAATTATCCAAATGACACTATGTAATAATATGTTTATTTCATAGATAAAAATTAACACAAGCATAATAAAAATTTTAGAACTATTAAAATAATAATGCAGAATCCAATTTCCAAACCACTAAAAAGAAATCAGAAGAATAAAGCTAACACATTCAAATCAGAAGAAAGAAAAGATAGGGGAAACCTGCAATGAACAGGTATGACAAATAAAATAAACTTCTGACCTACTTCCAGATGCACAGAACTAAATAAAACATGTGTCTCTATCTCCAATACTACCCAACAACAAATCTTTAGAGCTAAGAAACCCAAGTATATATGACCCTCCTTGAGGTTCTAGGGATAATTTAGAAATGGAGTGATGTAATGCCTGGTTTGAGACTGGAAACAATAAGACTGGCCAAGCAAAATAATCTGTCATCATCTTTGAAAACATTTCTTCCCTAATATGGTCAGTCTCAAGATAGAAAAATTTAAAAAAAAAATTCTAATTGAAAAATTGCTTCCTTTACATACAACATAACATGTAATTATTATAGATATTGAAAAACAAAGAATAATCATGCATAACCCTAAAGTGTAGAAATAGTCATTGTCAAGACTTTGGACTATGTCCTTCACCTATATAATAAGAGATTCTGTATGTATCTCAAAATGTCAGATTTGTATGACAGCACATGGGGAGCTACTGATGTAGTTCAAGCAAGGAGTACTATGCTCAGTGACAGTACTGAGAAGGGTGCATAGGAAATCAACTAGTCTACTGCTGGGAACCAGTTAGGAGAACACTCCAGTACCACAAAGAGATGGGCATGAACTAGTGCGTTTAGAAGGCAGAACGAACAGTATTTTGTGATTAATTTCATTTGGAGCTCTAGGGAGGAATATAAGGGCGAGAAAATTTTAAATGATTCCCAGAGTCCTGGCTTTATTTAATCTCCTAAATTTAATATTTTATACTAATCACAAACAACACAATTATCAGTAATATTAAAGCAATAAACGCTATAATTTAATGCATAGTATTCGCTTTACTAATATTTCATTTTCTTTTTCTCATGTCAGATCCAATTTTCTAACAAAAGTTTATTTTAGAATCATTTTCTCTTACTCTAGCTAAAGAGCTAGCTAGCCTTCTAGCTTTCAGGTGGTGTGAAGAATTGATTCTCAACTCTAGTAAGATTCTCTAGATAGACCAACTAGTCGTTCTAACTGAACTGAGGAAGTAGATGGTAATCAAAATGATGTGGAAGAGTTTAAAACCTGTAATCACAATTGGATAAGAGTGGTAATAAGATGTTTGCTGATTTGGAAAACTGGAGTGAGAAGAGTTCCCAAAGCAAATTGTGCTGTATTTATTTTAGATCCAAGAGTACATGGGGCACTGAACCTTAGATGAATCCTGGTTTACACATTGATAGCAGGTCTATTTTTATCAGTTTAATAGACCAGGTCTATTTTTATCAGTTTAATAGGTAGATATAATACAATTACTTAAATTACAATAAAAAACAGTACTTTAAGCACATATATAAGCAAGTACAATTATTTTGAATTTAGGAAACTATTATAAAATTACATGTAACTTAATACCATGCATATAAATAATACATTATTTTTAGGTATTTAATAACTTTAATGTTAAAAGATCAAACTCCACAATAAAAATTATTTTAGACTTACACATGGGCTCTACCTTTGTGAATTATCATGTTTAATCTAAAAATTATACTTATTATGTGTATCCTTTAACTTAGAAAAAATTATATCTAATTTATTTTTTATTATACTTTAACTTTGTGTTATATTAGGAGATATACATTTAAAAACAAAACTCACCCTAACCGGTTTGGCTCAGGGGATAGAGCATCAGCCTGTGGACTGAAGGATCCCAGGTTTGATTCCGGTCAAGGGCATGTACCTTGGTTGCGGGTACATCCCCAGTTGGGGGTGTGCAGGAGGCAGCTGATCGATGTTTCTCTCTCATCGATGTTTCTAACTCTCTATCCCTCTCCCTTCCTTTCTGTAAAAAAACAATAAAATATATTTTAAAAAAATAAATAAAAACAAAACTCAATATTT